CTAGTAATAATTTAAATTATTTGCAATAAACTTAATAGTTAAAAACAAACTATTCAGATGCATGATCTCATTTGATGCTCAGAACAACTCAGATGAAATGGGCAAAGGCAAAAGAAAACCTAAAGCATGGAGAGGTGAACATACCTTTTCTCAAAAAGGACATGAACTTGGGTTTTCTGAATCCATGTCTAGGACTCTTTCCACTATACTACTCTGTCATCATGGAATGGAAAACATATACTTTGCCAGAGTCTATTAGAATATTAGATGTCTCCTTCCTGATGTCACCTCAAATCCCAGATAAGCATCTTGTAGGCCCATAGTAGCAGCCTAGTATATACAAATGTGTTGGTTGGTGTTCATAAAGCAGAGAAAAGCTAAATTGTGACACAGCCAATGGATTTCAGATGTTCAAAAATCTTCATCAATGTCATTTCTGAACAAAACTGTCATATATAAATTTCCCTTTGTTACCTCCAGCCTTTCATTTCAATAATACTTTTCCCCCTTTTATCTCCTATTGTCTTGTTCTAAAATGGCTGCACTCTTTCTGTAACTTCCTGCACTCAAGTCAAATACTTCTGATACTTGCAAGCATTCTGTTCTTTTTCTCAGAATCCATAGTAACATCCGATGCCCACATCTACCAGGGTGATCAAAGAAATGATCATGCTGGGGCTGCATTATCACTAACTGTGAGAATCACCCTTTCCAAATGTCCCTGCTGGACATTTGTGCTCAAGCCACCCCCTACAGGGATTGGCAAGCACAACATTTGAGCTTGAGTTCCACTTGGCCACAGACAATAAATAGAATTTCCAAGGGGAGAAAACTGAACCTCTAGTTTTTTTGAAAGTGGATCTATTTCTACTTGTATCTGAAACACCTCTTGAGCTGATAACTCCTTAGAAAATGAAGGAAACCATATTGCATGCAAATGTAGGTTTTAATGTCACACATCACACTTTCAAATTTAGGTCTCCAGACATAGAAAAAAATTAGTGTGCATGGCATGCATAAAGAAGTGGAGTGAATAATTATCTCCTGGCATTATCCATTCCAGATTATATTCCAAAATGAATGCTATAGTGGAATGTATTTATTCACATTGGGATGAAACTTAGGATATAACTCTAAGTTAATTTTATTTTCAAAGAAAATTTCATTAAAATAGATAAAGGCTTTGTTTCAAAGAGACAGAATTGGAACTAATGCACTTTGCCCAGGTTTGAGCATTTCATTTGGCCTCCTTAAAAGCTTAATGTTTAAAGTGGCATTCTCAAGATACAATAACACTGACAAAGGAATATCTGATAGAATGATGGAGTAACACCATGATAAATCGACTGACAATGAGACAAATCACCCAAGTGGGGAAAGTGGCCCCTCTGTTGACATAGAATCAATATTTGCCATGGTTTCAGAACCAGGTAATTGTGAATGGACATAGCTTGTGTTTTCATCTGAACTGAAGATTTTGAAAATTTATGTTTTGACAAGTTCCGACCCAGGTCTCTATGGATCTTACAGATGGAATGCAATTGGCAACTCTGACTCATGACTTTGTTTATACACTTGTGCTTCTGCACATCAGAAAAGCTATTTTTTTCCCTGTAGTTTCTAAGAATGGCTCTCAATTACAGAGCCTAAGTCTGATTCATTTCTGGTCCCCTTTTCTAGCTTACGTCCATTTTTCTTCTTGTATATGTGTCCATTATGACATCTTTCAGAGTCCATCAGAGATATGGAATAGACATGAAATATTTTACTGACTTGAAAGTATGCAGGAAAGATTCCTTCCAATAAGAAAAATTATGCATATGCATTTCCTTTTCCCTTGCCAGTGTATGGCAGCAAGGAAAACAGAGAACTAATATTTAATAAGACATCTAGAAAAGCCATTTCCTTTACCTCAACAGCCCATATTTCACTCTTGCTTTTATTTTTGTGGCCAGATCTTGCCCTTCTGTCTTCTTATTAATTATTATTATTGTTGTTTTCAACATCATCATGATGTTTATTGTTATCATAGCAATTTGTTTTTTTAGCATTTACAGTGTGCCTGTCACTATTCCAGATACAGTCACATTTCCCAATCACCCTTCATTTCTACCTACTATATAAAATTTCTCATTGGTACATTGCTAATCAACTATACTAAGTTACAGTAAGTACTATAGTGTTCTTCCTAGTATCCTCACTGTTACAAGTTCCTTATTATCTCTTTTATTTCTTTCTCCTCAGCTCAGCTAAGATCATCTCTGCTAGTCACTGTGACCACTGGTTGGTTCCTCAAAAGTTCCTACCCTCAATTTCTACTACAGCTAATTGGAAGCACTAATCTTCATAACTGATCTACATTTTCCTCTATATCTTGTTCCTTATTTCCTCATTCTGGAGAAAAGAATGACTTCTTTTCCCTACATTGTGTATGTGTACATATTTGTGTGTGTGTGTGTGTGTGTAAATATATATAACGCTCTCTCTCTCTCTCTCTCTCTATATATATATATATAGAACTCTCTCTATATATATATCCCTGCCTTCTCAGATGCAGTGTTGGGTGGGTTGATAAAACATAAATATGCAAAAGAACCATATTAGACATATAAAGTTTCATGGGAATACCTAGGAGTTAAAATTATTTTACTCTAAAATAATGGGGAATGTTTTACATCCAGGAAGAGCTAAGATTCACTGAATAAAGAGAATTGTGGGAGCTGTTAGGTAATTAATCTGATATAAATGGTTCATGTAAATAAAATTTATGAAAGAGGATCAGGGTTCATTGATGTGGAGAGTTAAAAGGAGTGGGAGACAAAACTCAGTGAAGTCCATTAATGTTCAAGTCTTAAAGGATATCTACCCCATTTCCCTTTTATAAGTCTTTAAAACATCCTGTGCTCAGGTCTTTAAGTGGTGGAAAGATCTCAAAAACATGGCCATGCTTTCCTATACTTGATATTCTCTCCATTTATTTATCCTTTAGAATCATGGGAAATGTCATCTCCAAAGGATGACATCCCCAGAAGAACCAGAAAAAAAGCTGTGTGAAAATGATTGCTCATTCTATGTGGTCATTTAAAGTAGCAATGGCAACATGGGTGTTTGTTTTATTACTCTGCATTTTTCTCCCCTTTTGAAACGTGACTTCTAGAATATAATGAATAATAGTTGCTATTAAATAAGATGCTCATAAACTTGAAACAATTTTCCATCTCTGGGCCTTCTCTATGAAACCTCCCATGAATAGCTTAATAGGAAATCATCTCTTCATTTGTTGGAATCCTGTAGCATTTTTTCTGTACTTCTTAATGTTACTTAACTACTTAACTATTTCTGTCTCATAATGTATATTAATTTATAACTATTCATGTAACATCTACTCTCCCCATTAAAATTTTTGACAGTAACACTCAAACCTGTTTCCTCTCTCAACTTTCCAGTGCATGCAGTAGTTGGTATTTCCCATATAGTTCAGACTCAGAAGTTATTGAATGACTAAGTGAATAAATATAGGAATGAGTGGTCCCATTGAAAGCTCATTCTCAACTTGTTACTCATAAGATTTTATTTCAAATGTTGACTTCCAAAGCAATGATCACAAAATTAGTATGAAATAGGATGAGCATGAAAATTGTTTTCAGGAAAATTGAGCTTTGAACTTAGATCTGTTGTTTCTTTTGAAAATACTCTATAAATCAGATATACTTGTTTTGTCAAAATTATGACATAGCTCTTTATAAAATGTGCCCTTAGCTGGGTATATTCAGAGGTGTAGCATTTAAAGAAGAAATGAATCTAGAATTTAGTTTTCATGCTCATATTTGCAAATAATAAAAATTATTCAAAACTCAAGGAAAGCAATCTAATTAAATCGCTAATAAGCAAAATCAAAGCAATGGAATTACAACATAATATCTAGAATATTATAGGATTCTTCTTTTATAAAATATTATAAACACTCCACAATGCATTATGTTAAATTACAAGATAAAATGCAATTGTCATTTAAAATATGTATTTAAAAACTAAACCATCAAAAATAATTCATTCATTAATAATTGGTTTTTATTTCATATAAAAATAAACCAAATAGATAAAAAGTAATTTCTACAGATGATTAATTACATCTTTATAACATTAAATAAACAAAAACATCAAACTTTTTGGTTTTTTCTAATTGAACAAAGAAAGTATCCACCATCTTTGACATGTGCACTTTACAATTCTATGATCTTTGTTAATTTTAGATAAACAATTTCAAATAAACAATTAAAATGTTTAAACAAAAAGAAACCAAAAATTTCTGATATTTTCAATTAGAGTCTCTTGCCACAATGTTGAAAAATGAGAGAGGCCTGAAAGTGTGTAAAATGGCATGTTTTATATTGAGATTTAAACTTCACTTTGAGAGTAGGTATTCAAAACGAAAACCAAAGATTTTGAATAATCATTGAATCCTGTATGAATCCTGGTAGGCACTCATATAAGTCAAATCCATCATTTACTCTTGGATTCATTTCTAGTCACACTCCCACTTAAGATAAAATAAGGAATGTAGCAATAATCTCTGATATTAGTTTTCTTTGTGGAATAGAATACAAATGAGGAAAGTTTTCAAAAGTGGCAAATAATATATAAAATTCAAACTATTAAATTGGCTAGCTCAAAAGAATGCCAAAATGAAATGAATACTATACTATTTTATAATAAAAAGCCCTTAAAACTTATTTCAGATTATTCAAACATCTAGATTTCCCACAGGCTTAATATAAATTTAAATGGGGGGCGCCTGGGTGGCTCAGATGGTTAAGCGTCTGCCTTTGGCTCAGGTCATGATCCCAGGGTCCTGGGATCGAGTCCCGCATCGGGCTCCTTGCTAGGCAGGGAGCCTGCTTCTCCCTCTGCCTCTGCCTCTCTCTCTCTCTCTGACTCTCATGAATAAATAAATAAAAAAACAAAAAACAAAAAAATATATAAATTTAAATGGAACCTACCTTTAAAATTTGGCCTGATTCTTGCATCGTATCCTGATGTCCTTCCCATTAATTTGTCCAAGAAATCTGAAGGCGATAGGGTCTGTGAAGGCTGTTTTCCAGACCTGGAGTCATGGTCTTTGCAGAAAGCCGTCCTAAACACATCATTAACTTTTTTAGCAACAATTCCATTCTCATTGCCTGAGAACTAAGGCTCACAGAATGTTTGACATTATGTTTTGTTAATATACATGATAGTAAGAATAAAAAGAAAATTACAAACTCTTTGGTCAGCTTCTGAATTTGTACATTCTCTAAAGTTAACTTTAAATGATGAGAGTTAGAAATCCTGAGTCATATCTCCCATATGTCCAAACTGTAGCCATAAAGATGTTTAAGATGATACAACATGCATAGCTTATGTTGTAGATTTTATGGACATATAGTTAAAGCTGTTTCTTTCTAGACTCGTCAAAGAAATGAAGATGATAATTTCTAAAATGTGATTGTCTTAAAATTATTCCCCCATGACTCTTAAACAATTCTTCCAGCATTTTAGCCCTTAATATAAGTCCTCTACTTTTTATTAGAAATATATAATACAATGGGCAGAACAAAGTAAACAGTGAACTAATTATTCCATTGCTTATTTTCTCACCTGCTAGATTGTATTCCTGCTGTCAACTATTAATAATTTTCAATGCATTGCCTAAAAGAAAAGCTTCACGTGGAAATTTAACTTCATTCTAAAATAGGTCAATAATGAGTGTGTCTGTACTTCTATTACCTTATCAGATGTTATTTATATATTAGCATTTAAATTGTTCACTCTCCAGTAAAGTATTCATGAAAAAGAACTTCTAAATAATTTTCTTTTCTGCATTATCAAAAACACTAAATGTTGACTGGAAAATTTCTCATACTTTCATTTTCCTTAAAGGACTTATAAAAAGAGCCTATTTGGTTTGTAGTGAAATGAATTCTTTCACAATATACATAGTGGTTGACTGAATGTCTATTTCTTCGCTAAAGCATAATATTTTATAAGCTTTGTTTTTAGTAGTTTAACAAATAATCTTGTTAATTCTATCACTGAGAAAACACCACATTTTTGCCAGTTTTTCAAGGTAGTATTAAATGCAAAGTATTAAGTGCAAAGAGAATTTAAACATTTGGTAGGAGTTAAAAATTGATACAATTATCTAAAAATACTCACATTCCCATATGCAGATTCATCTGATTAATCAAGTATTATTTATGATGGTGGTGGTGGTGGTAATGAAGGTGATGATGATGATGATGGTGATGATGCTTCTAATGAAACCCAGCCTATAGTTTTTCTTAATCATAGTAGGTGTGAACCTGAAAGGAACATAGTGGGTTTTCCCAGTACTCATAACATTAGCTATATGTTCCATTTCTCTTGGTTCTGTGAAAAAATACCATAAAACGTGGTGAAAATTAAATGAGGAGTCCTACACTTTGTTGTATGAACATCTCCTGTCTCTATGCTGTCTTAGAACCTCTGCCATTAGGATGGCTATTTCACTTACTGGTAATCATCTGATACTTTGAAGTATAAACTGATTTGATAATTTATAAACTAGGTAGAAAATGCACACATGAAATAATGATTTCCCACTTATTTTAATTATGCATAGCCCATTTCTCATACACAGATAAATACAAAGATGTCATATTAACTAAATTTTGGTAGTCATTCAGTTTCCAAATATACTGAGCAATGGAACATAGTGGTAAAATGAGATTTTAAATATTTTTGATGTTTCAAGAAATTTCCTGAATTGTAGTGCTCATAGTCTGCATCTAGTTGCTGAAACACAATAGAAGTTTCAAGTTGACTAAGAATTAGGGTTCTTTTATATTTTATATAAAATGAGCATGCTTCTTGTAAATTAATCCAATCACTTCCACCATATGAGAAGCATTGCATCCAATAATCATTTTAAATGACTTTCAGAAGAACTTGAAAGCCAAAAAAAAAAAAATCATCATTATATAGAAATGTAAAGAGCATGCAACTCATTAGACTTCCTTAATATCACATTGCCTGTGAAAATGTGTGGAAATGCAGAGTGGGGTTATGGATCATAAAACTTGCCTTTGTGAAAATTTACCACCCTCCCACCATAATTACGCCTTTTAAAAGAACAAAAGAAATCTAACTCTCCTCTATAAAATTAAAATAATATGGTCCAGGGCATAGAAAAATAGATAAAAAAATGTATGACACGTTCTCTTTCAAACAGTTTTCATGGGGAAAATATCAGCATGCAAAGTCGTTTCACCTACCTGAAGTGGTTTGTCTCTAAGAAAAATGCAAACAAGGCTGTCAAAATGTTCACTAGCTGCCGGTTCATTCCTGTTTCTGTGATGCTTGTGGAAAATATCCCCGAAATGATTCCAGAAAAAAGCTAGGACAAAGTATCTATTTATTGTCCAGATTCGAAATCTGGCAGGAATCTAGTTTCCTTGAAAATCAAAAAGAGATTTGGGTTTGTACAGTTTGCTGAGAAAAAACAAAAAGTGCCAGTCCTAGGCATCATGGTCAGGTCAAACCGGGGCTCAGGACCATCAGCTAACCAAGGAAAGACAAAGCCTTAGAACTGATGGATTCCCCAGCTGCTTTTCCCGAATAATAAAAACGCCGCTACCTTAATCGCATCACCATGCAAAGGGGGCTGGTGACAATGCCATGCTGGAAGTCGGGTTGCTGTGGCTTTTGTTTTATGTCCTTTCTGTTTAGCAAATCCCTTTTCTCTAGAAAATGTTCTCTTTTTAAAAGAAGTTGTAAATGAGAGAGAAGAAAGGACTCTGAGCGCTGAAGTGGGCACGGGGGAAGAGGGCAAAATTGCTGAGATCCTGTGCTGGAATGAGAGCTACAGAAAGAGATGGGAGACGTGATCTTACCCAGCCTATAAATTTCAGCACTCGGACAGCTCCTAGCTCTGAAGTGCGCATGTTTCCTTTTTCAGTCGCTTGGGGCGGGGGTCGGGGAGAGGCATTCAAGAGGGGACAAGCCTGATGTTCAAAGGCAAAGAGTGGCTTGCTGTTCAGGGAAAGGGTGCTAAAGGGGGGTGTGATGACAATCAGGGGAGAGCAGAGGTCAGGGTAGACGAGGAGGGTGAAGGAGGTTAGGGTCTGACCCCTAGAAATGCGAGTCTGTCGGTGGGTGGGCGGAACGGGAGTTTAAAGCAGAAAAGGGAATCCGGTTAAGGAGTGGGAAAGGGAAATTGGGGGAAGCAGAAAACAGAATCCGGAGTACTGAAATTATAATAGGGGAGTGGGTAGTTCACTCCTTGTCAGTGGAACCTAGAGGCAAAAGAGGAGTCCTGTGCTGAAGAGAAAGGGACATTCTCTTGACATAGACAAGTCCGTGCGCAGAAAAAGGTTCATGAGGATCAATAATTTAATTTAGAAGCCCTTTATGCCTTCCTCTCCCCTTGAGTGTTTTCGTTTGATTTTAGCCGCCTGCTCCCAAAGGATCGCTACCTCTCTACTAGGGAAAGTCTCTTCCGCTGAGCTTTCTTCAGTGGCTCAAAATCCTTGGGCATCCTATTCAAGTCAATTTGTAGAGGAGTAAAAATACAATAGGCCAGCAGGGGGCAGTAGCAATCTTTTTCTGCCCTGATTAAAGGTTAGAGTAGGGCTTCATGTAAGAAACAGAAAGGAAGGGTGCGACTGAGGGTTGAGTTTTCATCTGTCCATTCCAGATGTTAATCACCAGGGAGATCCATGCAATAAAGTGTAGATGTTCTCCTAAACTGGCTAAAGAGACAGAAAATAGTGAACGTTTATAAATCCTATACAAAAGCATGACAGGTAATCTTGTTTCAAAGTAAATTTACAAATATTATTATTACTAAAAGAGGAAAAGTAAATAGTTCAATGCAAATAATTAGCAGCTTCTGGTAAGGGGAAATGAAAAATACGTGTTCTACCATGAGTTGGGTGAGTAACCTACTATTTGCCTGTAAAATATATCTTGTTAGTCACCTAGGCACTCTACTGCAGGTCTTAATTTTAAAACAAAATGATTAGTTTTTAGTCCATAAATGACTAATCTGCCCTTGGATTAATTAAATACCATAGCAGAGTAACAAAAGATTCTATATTTTTAAAAAGTAGATTCTGAAAAAAAAATTACTAAGTTCTTTTTACCTTTTAATGTTAATATAAATCACCTGAGCATCCTGTTAAAATGCATATTCTGATCTAGTAGGTCTGAGGTGGTGCCTTAGATTCTGCATTTCTAACAAATTCCTAGCTGAGGTTGATGCTGCTGGTCCACCGATCTCACTTTGAGTAGAAACAGTCTATATGACCTTTTATCAGATTTCTGTCCTACCAAGACAGTGAGAATATAGGAACCTCTCTTTAGATGAAAAGCAGCAAGTGCCCAAGCATTCTGCTTACATACAAAATCAATTATTTGGATGTGTTTTTTTAGCTCTCAAAGCCCAGAAAAGGTGATTCAATTTAAAAGGAAAATAGTATAGTGTAGCGTGAGACATCCCTGGACTGCAGCTTCGAAGCTGTTCACTTCCAAATTCATCCACATGGAAACTCTAGACCTGATTTTATCCCTGCAGTCCTGACCCAAAAAATAAAACCAATTCTTGGAAATATATTTCTTCAATTGATGCTATGGAAAAATCATATAAGAATTTTTTGTGCTCAAGATTCTTTTCAAAAGAAAAAATATATATGTAAATGTAGAAGAGAATGATTTGTCCCAAGTTTGTTTGAGGCTGTAATGATGCTTAAAGTAACACGGTCTTTGCAAATCATTTCTTTCAATGGCAGAGTCTTTTTATTAACCAGGAGTGAGGTGAGTAGGGAAACCTAAGACAAAGAGAGGCTCTGACCAGCAGCATGAAATCACAGCATTTACTATTTTAAAGTTGGAAGGGACTTTAAAGAGGATCTAGTCTAGCCTCCTCATTTTTAAAAGATTTTTTATTATATTATTTTTATTATTTGAGAGAGAGAGAGAGCGTGTGCGCGCATGAGCAGGGTGAAGGGCAGAGGGAGAAGCAGACTCCCCACTGAGCAGGGAGCCCGATGCGATGCGGGACTCGATCCCGGGACTCCAGGATCATGACCTAAGCTGAAGGCGGACCGCTTAACCAACTGAGACACCCAGGCATCCTAGCCTCCTCATTTTACTTTTCAGCTCTTTCCAATTTGGATTCCAGCTCTATCAATCCACAGAAACAGCTCTAAATCTTACAATGAATTCCTTGTAACTAAGGCCAAAGGATATTTTTCTGTTGTCATAGTACTTGACATTTCCATGGCCCTGAACATTATTGGTCTCTTTTCCCTTCTTTTTTAAAAATTAGTTTTATTTTATTGTGGTAACAACACTTAACATGAGATCTATTCTCTCAACAGATTCTTAAGTGTGCAATACAATATTGTTAACTGTAGGCACAATGTTGTACAGTGGATCTCTAGAACTTATTCATCTTGCATCACTGTAACTTTATACCCATTGATTAGCAACTCCCCCACTTCCCCCCTCTTCTCCGTCCCTAGCAACCACCATTCTGCTCTCTTGAAGCAACTTCCTCCCTTGACTTTGTGATGCAGTGTACTCCTAGCTTGCCTCCATTCTGTCTTCTTGGCAGGCATATCCTACTCTACCTGGCTTATAAAAGTAAGATTCTTTTTTTTTTTTAAGATTTTATTTATTTATTTGACAGAGAAAGACACAGCGAGAGAGGGAACACAAGCAGGAGTGGGGGAGGGAGAAGCAGACTCCCTGCCGAGCAGGGAGCCCGATGCGGGACTCGATCCAGGGACTCCAGGATCATGACCTGAGCCGAAGGCAGTCGCTTAACCAACTGAGCCACCCAGGCGCCCCTAAAAGTTAGATTCTTAAAGGCAATATTCTAGGTTCTCTCTTCTTCTCATACTATACTCTCTTAGACAATAGTTTGCACATCCATGCCTTTTATTACCCTCATACACAGATGGCATGCAAATATATATATTTCTATCCAGACCTGTACATCCAATTGCTTCCTAAACAATTCCTGCTGGATGTCTCAAAGGCTCCTCAAATTCCCCATGTCAAAATCAAACTTTTAATACTTCCTCTAAATACATTCCTTTTCTACTGTGCCTGTTTCATTGTTGCCAACCAAAAGCCAAGGTCATCTCTAAGACTCCCTCTCCATCACCCACCATATTTAGTTCTTCACCAACCCCTATTGATTTCATCACTCCTATGTTTCCAAAATCTGTCCACTTTTCTCCATATCAACTTCCACAACCCCAGTTGAGCATTCCTTATCTCTTCTTTGTATTGTAGCAATAGTTACCTTACTGTCTATCTGAACCAACAGCTGATCCTCCTCCACCTCATTCTATACACTCTAACCAGAGTGGTTGTTTAAAAATCAAAATTTGATTATATCACACCCCCTGAATAACACTATGACTTTCCGTTGATCTTTGGGTAGAACAAAAAAACTACATAACGTGATCTAATAGTTCCACGTGGTCTGGCCCATGCCTACATTGTCCTTCATCTTGTCCCCTACTCATCTCATTTCTCCCCCTATAGCTATATTGGTGTCTTTTTAGTCCCTCATGCTTTCCATATTGCTTAATCCCAAGGAATGTGTATGCCTCCCATTTTGTCCTGTTAATATCAACTTGTTTTTCAAATCTCTGCCCAAATGTTATTTCCTCAAAAAGACCTTCCCTGACCTGTCAACTCTCCCTACGATAGTCTTCCTTAGTACTCAGCAACTCTGAGTCAAAGAGCTTGTATTTTTATGTATACATATGTATGATTAATTACTTAAGTGATGAGCTTTGTAATGGACAGGGACAGCATCTGTATTAGACCATCATTGTATCCTCATACATTCACTGATAATGATAATAATCACAATGGTTTTGATGATGATTAGGATACAATTTTTAAAATGCATCCAGAAGTGCTGCTTAAACAAAACAATATATTTAAATATGTATAGTTTTGTCAAAAATTGTCACAGGGAATTAACAAATGAAGAACTATGATTATTTGAAAGGAAACCAAGCTCAGTGGCTCATGAGTCTATAGCATGAGATGAAAATACAAGTAAGAGACTAGGAATCTGATATCCTTGATTCCAGTTCCAACTCTAACACTGATCAATTATGTGACCTTGGGTAAGCCATTTACTCCCACTGAGCCTCATTTTCATCATATGTAAAATACAGATGATAATATTGCTGTGTAAAATACTACTATATGGAATACTCTTGAAAGTCATATGAAATCATAGCTGAGGATGTGTTTTTAGGCTCTTAATCTCAGTTCTTAACATCTACTGACTGCTAAAATTCATGTTTTGACTTT